CAGCCAGCGCTTTTGTGCTCTCACGCCTGATTTACATTTGGTTTCCTGCAAGCAAAACTTCTGCATTTTTTTTAGCAGCCAGCAGCAAACTGGGCTTTAATGAAACCACAGAGCTGTGTCTGGTCTCAGGCATCTCCAAGCAGTCCAGCCCCGGAGCCGAGCCCCCACTTGCTGCAGAAGAGCCTCCCAGCAGGACCTTGCTCAAGTCAACAGCTCTCAGTGCCTCAGTTTCCCCATCTGGCACGGGAGGGCAATACCCACCCTGCTGCTTCAAGGCTTCCAGGGGTCTGAAGCTTTTTGTTCTTTATTCCTACACATCCTCCCAGCCGGTGACACAGCTCGCAGCCTCCAGGCACCTTGCCTCGAGAGCCAGGGGATGGCAAGAGCAGGGCTGGTGGCCTTCATGCAGGGCACGGGAAGGAGCGAGGCCCCAGGCAGCTTGTTCAAACCCTCACCCCGCCTCTCGGTCTCGCTTCCTCCCCTGGAAACCCCCTGGCAGCCGTGGGAAAGCCAGCCCAGGGTTTCACCGTCAGCTCTGCTGCCGCAATCCGGCCCTGCACAGGCAGAGCGGCCATAAAGTCTTGTCCCACCGTGTCCCATCAGTGGGAGGGATGACTTGGAGCAGGCAATTTGGGGGGGCAGCAGCTCCTTGGAGGAAGATAGGACTCGCCAAGCCCTAAGCTAGCAGTGCCAGGGCATGATCCTCCTGCTCCCAAGGGCAGCGATTTTCTAGGACAAATTTCATCCTGTTTGATAGAAAAAAGCACAGCTGGAGAACAGTTCATTAGGAGGATACTTTGGGGAAGATTTGTAGGATTTGTTGTTTGGGATTTCTTTTTTTTTGGGCGGGGGGGGATGATTGGTTTAGTCCATTCCATCTACATACTATTTTTCAGCAAACTCCCCGAAACATCCCCAGATGATCATCCCCAACCAGGAGCAGCAGCTCTTTTCACTTCTCACAGTCCCCCAGGTCCCGTCCCTGCCACCAGCCGTCCCCACCCCGCTCCTGCTTCGTGCCAGCCCACCTCCAACACCCTCGCGCCCATGGCGAAATGCTCCCTCTTCTCCTCTGAGGTCACCCACGTCCCACAGCGGACTTGGACGCGGCGAAGACAACAACTGCAAGCTCAGGGCAGGAACGATGCTCTTCCACGCCGTGGGACGGGGCTCTTGGGAAGAGGCGATGGCGCAGCAGGTCCCTGCTGCCCGCTGGGAAGGGTCTTCTGGGTCTGCTGGTGGCTGCTGGGGCTCCAGAAGCACGCGGAGACAGGCCTGGGAGGAGTTTAAATGCTGTGCTTGCAGTGAAATTTGCTTTCAGCCCCTTGTGGAGCTACGTTTTCCTGCGATCTGAGCCATCGCTTGGTCTGATCAACGCGCTGGCCCAATCGGCACTGAGTCTGCGGGGTGCAGGGGGTTCCCCCAAATCCCAGCCCCACGGACACCCTGCCCTGGGCATCCCTGGCCGAGGGCAGAGGCCTCTCCTGGGGCTG